GGGGGGGCTGGAGGAGGGAGGGTCTAGACAGTGGGCAGGGCTTCCTGCTCCCAGGGGGTGGGGCTCTGTAGGGGCGGGGTCTCTGGGTATGGGGGGCGGGGCTTTCAGCTGGGTGTCAAGGGGTGTGGTTTAAGCAGGGCAGGGCTTATGGGTGGGGGAGCGGAGTTTAGAGGCTGGATATGCCTTAAAGGAGCAATATCCCCCAAAACTATTTGTGGTTGGCACTGGCTCCCCATAGGTTCTCCCTGATGGGGAGCAGGGCTCAGAGATCTCTTTAAAGGAATAGTGCTGTCTATAAACTGTCACTGAGGTGGGTGGAGTTCAGAGGTCTTGGGCCTTAAAGCAAGAGGACTTCCCATAGGCTCTTTGGGTGGGTAAAAGTCAGAGGTCCTGGTCCTTAAAGGGGCAGGATCCTTCAGCAGTAGCAAGACTCAGCAGGTTCCCACCAGGGTTGGAGCTCTCCCCAAAGTGATGGATCCCTCCCCAAAGTGATAGATCCTGATGGGGCTCCTCCCCCTCACCTGGCAGGAGGCAGCGGCCCGGGAGGCAGAGCTGGAGGCGGCGCGGGGGCCAGCGGTTGTGAGTCCCCAGCACGACTACAAGGACAAGTACAGCCACCTCATTGGCACAGGCGGCGGGAAGGGCGCTGCCCACGCCATGGAGGCCAACAAGGCCTACGGCTGTGGTGAGCCCCTCCCAGATGCTTGGGTCCCTGGGGTGGCGGGGAATAGGAACCCGGATCCCGATCGCCTGGGTCCCAACCACCCTCTTTCCTCCCCCTGCTCCTCCAGTGCCCGTGGCTAACAAGCGGGACACACGCTCCATCGAGGAGGCTATGAACGAAATCCGTGCCAAGAAGCGGCTGCGGCAGTCTGAGGATGATACAGCAGGCACCCCTGCACCCCCCTAGAGCCCAGGGGGGAGACCAGGGGGACCCCTTAGGAGGTGGGGGGGGCTTAAGGGCCTTGCCAAATATGCTGCTATGTCAGGACTCCTCTGAGGGGCAGGGGGTGGGAAGGAGACCTCCCCCCAGTCCCTTGGAGGGGGGGGATGGTGTTATGTGGATTTTAATTGGTTTTAGTGGCTCTAGGCGCTGGGCGGTGGGTTGAATGGCATACTGGGGAGCGAGGGGTTAAATGGGGTGGAGTCTGGAGGAGGGGCAGAGTCTAGTCCACAATGTGGAGCTCCAGAGCTTTCCCCTCACCCCACCAGGATATAAGTGGGTCCCTGTGTAGGTTTGATGGGGGGATCCCTTTTAAATGCTGATTAGGGGGTGGGGCTTAGAGGACTCTGCTGTGTTGACCCCAATAAAGCACCTGTTTTACCCTGACCTCTGCCCTGTCTGTCAATGATTGGGGGGGACCCCAGCTATAGGCACCTCCTCATAACTTCTTTGCCAAACTGGGAAGAGAATCCAGTTGTCCAAC